ATGTGAGGAAGGTCGGACTCTTTTAAGTTTCAAAGAGTTCTCTTCAAATCTTTTCCGAACAATGTCTTTGTTTTTCAGGATCGTGCTTATTGATGAATGCGGAACATTGAATTCCTTTGCCATTTCAGCGTTCGACTCACCAGCTTCCAGCCTCCAAATTATCGCAGCTTTTTCTTCAATGGTAAATGTTTTACGCTTCTTTGTTGCCATAACTCTATTATGAGTAAATTGTAATACAAACATACACACAAGCTTTTTAGGACCTACTTACGCACAGTCTATGATTAAATAGTTTCTTACCTTATGTTTTGTATGTTTTGGTACAGTTGTGCTATAAGTTATTCACTTGTTCTCGCGACAACCGCAACGTTGAAAAGAAAGACTTTAAATGAGAATAGCAACGATCGAATGGTGAATACATACAAAATTTTTTGCCAAAAATTCCAAACATAACGGTTCCGGAATGGTCGTTATAGACGAAGTTGTTATAAACGGAGGAATTTTTGGTGTTTTTCACGTAAAACCAAACATGTATTGAAATTTCGTCGTTGTAACCGGAATGTCGCTATAAGCGAGGTCGTTATATCTGAACTTAACTGTATTTCATTTATTTTATCAATATAACCGGATTTAAAAATTTTCAAAAAGGTGGCAGCTCTCCAAATTTTTGTAGTATAATTGATCCTGGTATCATACCGAGCAATACAAAAAAAAAAATATTAAATCAGTTCAGCGGTTCTCAGTTTTGATGACCGTGACAAACGAACACAACATTTTTATATATATAGATGTAGATTTCTAAATCAAGATTTCTCAAATGCCTTAGTTTGGTACCGATATTGTAACATTTCATGTATTTTACCAATTTAATTGAGTTAAATTTTTAAACAGGTGGCAACCCTCCTCAAACATATTTTCTATGTAGGTCTTTTAAAAACTCTTTAGTTTGATACCCTCATTGCAATATTTCATTTGTTTAATCAATTTAACTGAGTTAAAATTTTCAAATAGGTGGCAAACCTCCTCAAAAGTATTTCCAAAAGTCTTCCTTCTTACTCCTTTTTAATTTGATACCTATGTATATCAATTAAACTGGGTTAAATTTTCAAACAGGTGACAACCCTCTTCAACCATATTTTCGGCTGTAAGCCTTCTTAAAAATCTAAAGTTTGATACCAAAATTACCGTATTTCATTTATTTTAACAAAATAACTGAATTTAAATTTTCAAAGATGTGGCAATTTTACTCAAAAATATTTCTAGCAGTTATCTTTCTTAAACCTCTTAAAAATTTAATATCTATATTGTAATATATCATTTAGTTTATCAATTAAATTGTGCCAAATTTTTTAACAGGTGGCAACCCTTCTTTATAATATTTTTGACTGTAAGCCTTTTTAAAACTCTTTAGTTTGATACCCACATAGCAATATTTCATTTACTTTATCAATTTAACTGAGTTAAAATTTTAAAATGGGTGGCAACCCTCCACACAAATATTTCCAACAGTTATCTTTCTTAAACCTCTTTAATTTGATACCAATATTGTAATATTTAATTTATTTTCTCAGCGTAATTTAGTTAAACTTTCAAACAGGTGGCAACCCTAATCACACATATTTTCGGCTAGAAGCCTTCTTAACACTTCTTAATTTGATACCCACATTGCAATATTTCATTTACTTAATCAACTTAACTGAGTTAAAATTTTAAATTAGGTGGCAACCCTCCTCAAAAATATTTCCATCAGTCATTTTTCTCAAACCTCTTTAATTTGATACCCATATTGTAATAATTAATTTATTTTGTCAATATAATTGGGTTTAAAAATTTTCAAATAGGTGGCAACCCTCCAATTTATGCGATATCATTGGTTCTGGTATTATACCGAACAATACAAAAAAAAAATTATTCAAATCGGGTCAGCCGTTCTCGAGTTTTGACGACCGTGACATACGAACACAACATTTTTATTAATATAGATGTATGTAAAACATCTGTATTTTATTTATTAAGTTTTGTAATTTACTTATAAGTATATATCAATATATTTTTGACAATGTATGTATATACCAAATGACTTATGATTTAATAAAAATAAAATTTGAATATCATATTTGAAAACGCATATTTTTAAAATGAAGAAAAAACTTTTTCGGATTTAATTTGAACATGCGCATATTGAGTTATCAAACGATCGTTTTTAAAAACGATTTAAAAATTTGCGTATCAAAAACAAAAACATGGATTTTGGAAATTGAATTGAGAATTTTCGTTCTAGAAACTTAAATAAATAATAGGTGCGAAACCTGGGTCAAAACGTTTATAAAAATAAAACGTTCCAAACAAATTTGAAAACGTAAATTTCTCTGTGTAAAACTGAGGGAATCATTAACAAAAAAACTGAAATTGAAGCAAATGTTCAAGTACCGTTATCTCGAAAACCGGAGTCGATCTGTCAAAACGGGGGAAGCCATTGAATTTAAAAGATCCCAGTCAAGGAAGTTCAGCTAATAAACCTTTTCCCAGAAAAAAGGTTCAAAACTTGAGCACAGTGTTATAAACAACGAAAAATTCACTTTCAGAGCTCTAAAACTTCCCTCCTAAACATCTCAAAATTTTGACGTGATACGGATTTTCTGAAAACACCATCGTAATCTAGAGGCCAAAATTAGGTTTATGTGTTTGGTCGTCTAGCTGTGATATTTCAAAACTTTAAAATTTACCTACAGTGTTATTAGCTATAGCGAAAATAAACGAGTGTAACTGGCTGTGGTTCGAATGAAGAATAAATTTTCATTCATCATCACGAAATTTTTAACAACGAGTACATTCATTCACTTGAATGAAGAATAAAAATGCATTCATCATTCGAAAATTACATGAATGAAGAATAAATTTTATTCGAAATATCATGACAATGAATGAAAATATATTCTTTATTTGAAATAACTTGAATGATCCCTGGTTACAGTAACGTCATAAGTTCATGGGGTTGTCATACACATCGAATTCGGCACTAAAGTATGTACAGTGCGAAATTCATTTGAACTATTCAAAAAAGGTATTAAATGTACTAAAGTAATATTACAAGTGCAAATTATTATTCCAANAAATTCGGCACTAAAGTATGTACAGTAAATTCATTTGAACTATTCAAAAAAGGTATTAAATGTACTAAAGTAATATTACAAGTGCAAATTATTATTCCAATGTAGTTTAATGTAATTGTGATCTGCCCAAACAGAACTTCATTCTCATTAAAAAAAGATAAGTAGAAGATAAATAAAAAGAGCAGTATTTTTTAATAATATATAAAACTAATACTTCTGAGTATATTTCGTAAAGCATATCTATCATATATGTAGATATGTATATCGGTCAATTGTATATCTGTACAGGTTTGTACATTTTGCCAGGTACAGAGTAGTGCTGTTCGGAAATTCTTTCATATAACTGAACTCAAATTTCTAACGAACAAAACTCTGTGACTGCTAAAATGTACAAATCTATACAGATGTACAAACCGTTTGATCTTCGCTTTAGAATATTCTTGATGAAATTTTTGTAATTGCCTACAAGTCGCACTACAATCAGGAGGGGTTTTATTTTAATTTCTGATTGCAGTTTTTTTAATAATTTGGAAAAGTTCTCTATGTATTGATAAATACTTACTTTAATTGGACTACCCAAAACCTTGCCAGACGTTGGCTTGGCGTCGAAAATGAAATGAGAAATGATAGTGTCAAATGTAAACGCCAAGTGGGAAGTGTCACTATGCACGGCTGCACTTACTTTAATATCCACACGGTTGCATGAGGCAATTACGTTATGTTTTTAATCCGTAACACCGTAATGAGAGGTTGTTATTACAAGTTGTTATTCTATTCTAATTAAAATCGATTGCATATTGAATTTCCCCAAAAATTTAAAACTATTCCCCGATTCCCCCGAGAAATTTAAATTCTACCAAAATCGGGAAATTGTTTATATTTCTGCGCTGCTTATTCATTGTTTCTTGATGTGGTAAAATCTTAAGAGTTCTCTTTTCTTTCTTTGCAGATTGTAAGCTCCTCCAAACTCGACACACTAAAGCAGCTATGATAAATAGCAAAACTAGATAGTCGCATCGCAGCACCAAAGATTTGATTTTAAATCATGTACATACAATATGTTAACTTTATTAAGATTCTAACTTGAAAAGCGAAAAGTTTAAAAACAGCTCTTCTAATGAATAATAAATGGTTTGACACCGAAAACAGACAGTGGCTACGAGTATATCGACCCGATTTTAAAACACAAAATGCTTACAGTAAAGCAAATAAAGCACCAGCAACCATAAGAAATATACAGTTGTACAAAAACGAATAATCAAACGACTTAAACCCCAGCCAATCGACTCTGATCGAATTCGAAGTACGCCCACATTCATTCGAAATTAAACAAACAAAAACAGAAAAAATCAACGCAGCCGAAATAAACTAAGAGAGTTCGAGTAATGAAAAGAAGTAAAGGTGTAAATAACGCGAACCAGATGTGACGAAAAGNCAAATTAAACAAACAAAAACAGAAAAAATCAACGCAGCCGAAATAAACTAAGAGAGTTCGAGCAATGAAAAGAAGTAAAGGTGTAAATAACGCGAACCAGATGTGACGAAAAGGTGCAATAAGTAGACAAATGATTGTAAAATAACTGATTTCTTTAAAAGTTAATACTAGTAGTAATAGGAACCCTAAACATTTTTGTTTTTATAATTATTGTGTGATTATAATTAGGCGTTGTAAGGCTATAAGCGGAATTATAATAATCATATGTATGTTAATGCTACTCTACTAGATCAATTTAAACCTAATCTATTCAACTAAAGTCATAGGCAATAAAATTTTTAAATAAAAAGCAAAACAAAACTGCATGTTGTAAACGAGAGTAATATCGAAAATTGCTTTGCATAATCGCGTAGTTCGAAAGAAGGCCAGAATCAAAAGCAAATAAAACGACGTTGGAAAACTATAAACATTTTGGTCTATAAAATGTCATTAGCCGACATGGGTACAGCGACGCGAAGTGGCGGCGTGAGCGGAGGTGGTGTTAGTGTTGGCGGTGGTGTGGATATTGGCATAGGAGTGCCGGGCGGACGTATCACTCACTCGCTGAGTACACCATCAGGAGTCGATGGTACTCCATCAACACCAAGACATCGTGGTGGAAAGAAACTAACTGTTCGCATACAGATGCTGGATGATTCGGTGACCATGTTCCAAGTGCAGGTAAAAATCTAATACATAATTGAAATTAGTAGTCATATGTAGTTTTTTAAATAAATATATTAAAAATCATTAATTTCACATACAAAATTGAAATTAAATCTAATCGGACCAATAAGCCAGGATCATTTGCACATGATGGACGTCTTTGTCTTTCATTAACATAAGTACCTACATACATATCGTTACCTTCATATAGAAAGGCCCTATCTACAAGATTAGAATATCTGTTGCTAAATTTTATATAGACTACACTAAAAAGTGGGAAAAATTCAAATAAGTTTTAATCTACCGCATCTCTATAAATGAGCTAAAAATTAGAAAATAATTTTTTCTAGACTCGTACAATTTACCTTGATATTTTGATTTTAAAATCTGAGCAATAGTCATTATAAACAATTTATGATATTTAAAATGAAAAACGTGGTAAAGCTATGGCGAAAAAACTCGATGCATCGCTAGTTTTTCAGCAAAAATGTTTCACTGTATAAATCACTAACAAAGTGGAGCGAAGGAATATAAAAAAAAAAGTGTGATTGGGGTTTATATCAACTCATCGAACTTGTGGGAGGTGCTTTATTGAATCCTGTACAATTTCCGAGTAATATACTTAGAAAATGTCAGTGTGTATTCAGAATTTAGACCGGGAGACTCTTGTACTCCTTCACTTGAATTCCAGAATTTTTTTCGTTCTTTTTGCAATCTCTATGGCTAGGGCTGTCGAGACTCGGACCCAGGACTAAAAAATCAGTAGGCCCCTATATTTAAATCGGGAACCAAGGGAACATTTTTTTTTCTCAGGTTTCGCAGATTTTCGATTATATCTGGGTCATACTTATTCTGAGGCAGGGGTTCCCAAACTTTTTTCACCTCGGCACCCTTGTTGTGCTAAAAAAAATTCGCGGCACCCCTACTCTTCAAATGTCCACGAAAACAAGAAAACACAATGCAAACTTTATGCTCCTTTAGCTTGAAAGTCAGGACTGAAATTGCTTTGATGATTGCATTATTTCCTTTAAATTTATTGGGGGCTTTGACAATTTTACCCTGAAATCATTTGACGCTGAAGGCTTGCTGGTGTATTTGTTTTTAACCGACTTCACAAAAAGAAGGTTATCAATTCGTCGGAACATTTTTTTATTATTTTTTTCTATGTACGTTACCGCATAACTTTGGACCACGTTAACCGATTACTATAATTCTTTTTTAAAGGAAAGGTGTTACCTGACAGGTGGTCTAATTTGGTTTAAATCCGATCATTGGATTGTGAATTGATTAACGATAATCTTAAATTCTTAGACGGGAATTGAAATCGGTTTTGTTTTTTGCTCAAATTATTACTTTTTTATGTAAGCATTTGTTAAAAATGCAGTCTCACATAGAAATGTAAAAGTAAGGCCCCTATTATGAGTTGCATTCGACTGGCGTCGAAGGTGCTGATCGAACGAATTTTCATTTGGTATTATGTCGGCCGCTTGGTGTAGTGGTAAGCAGTGCGCGCTTTCACTCCGCAGCACCTGGGTTCAAGCCCTGGTCAAAGCAACATCGCAAAAAAATATAGAAAAAAGGTTTTTTCTTAACAGCGGTCGTCCCTCGGCAGGCAATGGCAAATCTCCGAGTGCATTGCTGCCATGAGTTCGGAGTCGGCGTAAAACTGTGTGTGACAACATCAAGGCGTACGCCACAAATCGGAGGCGAAGATCGGCCAAACATATGTGTAAGCGCGTATCTATTATTATTATGATGCTCATTCGATGAAGAATAGCGCTATTGTGAATTTCGCTCGGTTAGGTAGTTTACAATAGTACTATTTTTCACCGCTGAGAAGTTTTGTTTACAAATCGAGAAAACAAAATAGTGTGCTTATAGATATGTATGTAAATTTGTGCAAATTAAAATGAAATAAAAAAGAAAGCGAGTTTATAAAAACGTGGTAAAAATGAGTACAACGGAGTTCTGGTTCAACGATTCGTCAGAGGATGAGAGCTTGGTAAACTGGCCAGGAGTAGAAAATGTTTAAGAGGGTTTAAGTGTAGTCTTTCGAATATATTTTGACATGAAATATATTTATGAAATTTGTCTAAAGATTTATTAAAACCTTCCGACTGTCTAAAGGGCGTTTGTGAGCCAATATATATAATAACCAGGGAACGG